AAATTTTTTCATGGAGATCACGGAGGGTAAATCCAAGCGGTTAGCGTAGTGGTAGCTCGACCACCTAATAAACGTCTTTACAGGCGTACGTTAGGAGTTTGAATATCTCATAAAGTGTTCGTCCTTTGAGCCCATCGTCTAATATTCTCCCCCTCCTATATGGCTTCATATGGTGGTCCGTTCACATATTTATACCGGTGTTATTGAAATTTAAATTCACAATTTTTGGAATATTTGAAGATACTTAATTCGTTTCAATTGACAATGATAAAATAAACGAAACTAGAAGGGGATAAATTATAATTAATCCTTCTCCTAACAAGAAAGTAACGTTAAAAACTCGTACTGAGAAAAAGTTTTAAATGAGGACGACATTGTCCCACGACCAGTCCAAAGAGGGTTGTTATCAACGTCAATTTTGATTCCCAACCAGATAAATTACTGTAGCAATAACGAATTTAATTGGCTATTGCAGATATTTGAAGGCCCAGTCATAGATACATCGAGAGAGAAATGCATTAAAAAGGATTAGGTGTTGACAAGACTGCGTTACGTAGCAGTTGTAGAATAATCAAAATACAGAGATAGCTAGGGTTTGATAGTATTTCTTTCTTTCTTTCTTTTTTTTTTTTGTTGGTCATTTGTACAGAAATAAAGACGACCAGATTTAAATCCGTAACCAGGGTTGACCCAACAATATGAAAAAACAAACATGAGTTTTACGCTCCATAATTTTAGGTACATCATTAACCTATAAAAAAAATTAAAATAAATTCTATGACCTACAAAAAAACTCTAAAAAATTAAATCTAATCAAAATTTTTATTGCAATAATTTGGGCCTATAATTCAATTCAAAAAATTAAAAACTTAGAAATTAAAAAAATAAAAAAAATAATCAAAAGTCAACTCATATTTACTCTCTCTATCTATCCAGTAAAAAATATAAAAAATAAAAACAAAAGTTAAAATTAAACACTCTTATTTTCTGTGGTAAAAAATAAAAATAAAAATTANTAAAAAATATAAAAAATAAAAATAAAAGTTAAAATTAAACACTCTTATTTTCTGTGGTAAAAAATAAAAACAAAAATTGAAATATCTTTTTCGACAATATTAATACATTCTTCTTTTGTCTCCCTCTTACATAAAAAATTAAAAATAAATTATTTTTTTTTAAAAATAATTCTAAAAATAAAAAGACATACATTTAATATTTCTACTTTAGATCTCAAATTAACTTGAGCCGCCCCTGCCCACACCTTCGTATTTTAATAATAAAAACGGTAGGCCAATCACGAAGCTCATGGTTTAGTAGCATGATATGATAATTTGAAGCAGTTTAGTAACTCTTTTACGTCGACTTGGCCTTCTTTTGATCATTGCACGGACTTTGCCGACCACATAGATATACATTGAGTTAGGTAGACAGAATATGATGCAAAATCCTAAATCAACATATCCCTTATCACTTGTCACCTAATCTTCGAAAAGTCAAACGGATGTTGTTTTATGTGAAAAAAAAATTACCGTAGAAACTTGGATTTTTTAAAAATATTTATTTTGAGATTAATTTGAGTGATGATCATAATCAATTGGGATTGATAGTAAATACTTTGAGTGGATCCTAATTCAATTATATTAAGTCGCTACTTCGTTTATTTATAATCCACACGAGGGTTGAATTCGGAGCAAATTATAAATTCATACGATATAGGCTCGATCCTTGTTGTTATTAGTGACTCTTAAGTTACTTTAACAGATACATGTAATTTGTAGGTGATTGTAATATACTGTGTAACGATAAATATAGTATGATTATGCCTTAGAGAGGTTACCCATCACAAATACTAAAAAATTGGTTTTTTTTTTCCCGATAAATGTCAAAAAGTTGGTTTTTGTTACCCTAAAAATTTCTATGTTAATTTTGACAAATTTGATTTGTGATAAAGAGGATAAGAAACGTATAGAGTTGTCTTGGGATGGGACCAAAGGATTGAAAAAAAGAAAAAGAAAATTATTGGGACCAAATTAGGCTAACAAAGCTAGGGTTGAAGAGTCTTGGAAACTTTACCATTTGTTTGCTTCAAATGAAAGGATATGCTTTAAATTTAAATCTTGATAACTCCTTGAAGTCAAGTTATGTAAAATTTATCCTTTATGAATATCTTAATTTTGGTGTGGAAGACTTGTGTTTTGATCGGACGAGAGAAAAAATTAATCAAAATACACATAAATTAACTCAAATATTTCTGACCGTTAAACAAAAAAAAATCATATGCTTTAGGTCTTTATCATTGAAGAGACAGAAAAGGGAGTTTCGTTATTGACCAGGCAAGTTTTCATCGGCGTACAGCTCCTACAAGTCTTTGTGCGTGGCTGCACAACTTCTTAGTACAATCAATAATGCAATGCCTCAATTATTTTAGAATTGATTTTCACGTCCTTTGAACAGTAAGCTGGCATATAAATCGTGAGGAATCAAACAACTCTCATATTTACAAACCTGTATATATCAAATCACTCTCGAAAACTAGTCAAAAGAGGAAGAATCGAAAGTGGCAATATGTGGATTGAAGTAGTTTACAATGTCCATCACAATATTTCTATGTCCGATTACAAATTATTTTAAATAATTATAACTTTTGTTTTTTTTTTGATGTGTTTTGTAGTACGTGGATTGATTCACCAATTAGTAGTGACATGCATGCAATCCTCACCGTTCAATTTATTCCTTTATGGTATGTTCATGCTATAAAGATTGATAAGATAGATAATGATATATCGCTTAGGCATGGCAAGACATGTCTATCTACTCAACATGAAATTAGTGCAGAATTAGTGAATTTATATTTCGCGTTAATGAGCTCCAATGGTAAATGATTCAATATAAACTTGATCAAATACGTCATGAATTAAATAAGTTTAATTAAACACTATTTAAAAAATAAATCGAACATAGAATTAATGAAGACACAATTTAAACACGACATGGCCTATTATGTGCCATGATGTTACCTTGAAACGCAGTGTTTAGTTAACAAGTAAAGTAATCCAATGATAAGGAAGGTGAAGACCAGTTAAATTAATAGACATTCAAACTCATCTGCAAGGTAGAAGAACGGTTCATATTCCATTTTATGGATGGATAGTTGAGAAAATGATCTCTCAAACTTCAAATCAACTGGCTCAAAACTTCGCATTTTACTTTTTTTATACTCTAAAACGTTTGACACATTATAAACGATTTTGGTATGTCAGTGTTGTATACTGGGTACGACTTTTTATAATTACGTTTCATTGTATATTGGCTCGTAAAGTAATTGGATAGCAAAATCAATTATTCAAACAAGCTGGAAGTTTGTGAACAGAAACTGAGGGCTGGTTGAATTAGTAGAGTTCGAGACTCATTCGTCGGTGGACCCTTCCATAACAACAACTTATCTCTATTAGGTGAGGTTAAAAGGCTGCTAAAAAAATATATATTTATTTTTGTTGACAAGTCTGACTTACCCTAAATAAAACAGCTTGTTACAAGTTTGGGGTTTTCACATTTTTGTACCCTGAAAGATGTTAAAATTTTTTACTTTATACCCTAAAAGATAATTTTTTTACATTGTACCTCATTGTTGTAAATTAGTTGCAATGTGACCTCTCAACCCAACGCTACCTCTCATTCCCGTTATGCACATGCGAAGCACATGGTCTCTCTATGGACAAAAAGAGCTTTTCACCACCATCATCACCAACACCATTGCACCACCATTATCATCAACACAACACCACCACTATCTCACTACTATCATCACAAACGCAACATCATCACCATCATTATCAGCACAGCACCCACCACCACCACATGCAACAATCCATTCCATATAGATGGTGATGGTGTTGTGTTAGTGATGCTGGGGTGAAAAGCCTTTTTTGCCCATGGAATGACTATGTGCTTCGCATGTACATATATATATATTTAACGGGAATGAGAGACAGCATTGGGTTGAGGGGCCGCATTACAGCTAATTTCCAAAAAGAGAGTATACTATGAAAAATATTATCTTTTAAAGTACAAAGTAAAAATTTTAATATCTTTCAAAGTGCAAATATGAAAACCCCAAAAGTTTTAACTCTTTTCCTTGGCTTTCCCTAAAAGAGAACTAGAGAAAGGTCTAACAATGTATCTAGATTATTGATTTAATTATATTAAACACTGTCTATCATGCATGGAGTCTTCACCAAATCAAAATAAAAGCAATTTTAGTGGATCCACCTTTGACAAATTGATACCTGCCACATCAACCATTCAACTAGTTCATCACGCAACTAGTTCTTCAATTTTTTTTAGAGGGATGCACTCATTCAAAGAATGATATATCTTTGAGTTGCAGTTTTTATATTTTATTTAAATTGTGCAATATTTTTCTTTTGAAATTCTATCATAGAAAAGTATTACGTATGTCAGTATCAATAAACACTTTTTGGTCTAGATTTCTTTTAGTTAATTATTCAATTTAAAATCAATTGTTAAAACTATTTTTTGGCACAATAACACGGGCGTAGCATAATTTTATCCCATATTGTCTAAGAGTATCTCTAGCCATTGTACTTTTTAAAACTTAAATTTAAATTTAAATAAAATATTCTTAAAAACGTTATATAATTATATACACAAACTCATACTAAATTAAGAGATATTGAATTTTTTACTCAAATTAAGAAAAATTCAAATGTTTACTCAAATAACCAACGATCAGATTTTATTTTTAAAAAAAAAAATCAATGATCATATTTCACATTATTTAAATTTGAGTTATACTTACACTCAAGGTATCCATCAATCTATGTGCTAATGTTTTTCCTTTTCTCCTTTTTTCTAGACGTGGAAATATTTAGCCATGCACAATAGTCTAAATAATTAGGTAAGCTGCCTATGCCAAACACACCCTTAACTTTCTCTATATATTACCCCAAGCACACTTGTTTGTTCTCACCACATTCCTCCAATCTCATATGAGTCATATCACTTGCTGTTCTAGTTATCTACCAAAAAAAATGTCTTCATCTTATTCTTCTTTTTCTTCTTCAATGGTTGCTGTCACTTTGGTTATGGTTTTGCTATTAGTAGATAGCTCTTCAGCTAAGCTATCAACCAACTTCTATTCTAAGACTTGTCCGAAACTACTAAGTACCGTGGAATCTGAGGTAAAATCGGCGGTGTCGGAGGAAAAACGCATGGGTGCTTCTCTACTTCGCCTCCACTTCCATGACTGCTTTGTTCAAGTAATTGTTCTAAAACTTGCATCAATGTTGACCAAGATTTTTTATTAAATTTTTTATCCCAAATAATGTGACACAATTTTTATCATCAAATAAATGGGTTTCAATAATATTTAATGATTAAAATTATACTACATTACATATAATGAAAAACTTGTTAAACATAAAATTACTGCATATAGTCTCCCTTTAACTTAAATGTGACAGTTGGAACTTATCTCTACACTTTGGTCACATATGCATGCGTCTGGGGCAAGTGGCAGGTCTCATTCGTTACCCTACTGCATTGCCCAATCATGCACAAAATAGGCCCCAAAGAAGGAGAGAGACTTTTCAGGTTTTACAGTGGATTCCCCGTTTCAGTGTGTTTGGGACCATATTAATCGTGGAATGTTTGAGGAAATATTTCTCAATTATGCATAGTGAACAAAGAGATGAATTCTTTTTTCTTTTTTTTTAATTTAACGGTTAGGGGCGTTCATGTCAACTTATATATATCTTCATTAATTCCCTCCACAATCTAGTCAAAACAGATCATCTATGCCACGACAGGAGTTGCTAAGACTCGAACTCAAGATATGGAGTTTACAACTTTTCTCTATTACCATTTGAACTGCGTTTTCGTTAAGAGATGAATTCATGTCTGGTGCAATTCTGACTGATTTTCTTGTGTATGTCATGGGGAATTTCTCTTCTCATGCTTTGATTACAGGGTTGTGATGGATCAATACTCCTAGATGACACTTCTTCTTTCCGAGGGGAACAAACAGCTGGCCCAAACAACAAGTCTATCAGAGGTCTGAATGTAATTGAACGCATCAAGTCCAAGGTGGAGGACGTCTGTCCTGGTGTAGTGTCATGCGCTGATATCGTAGCCATTGCCGCTCGTGATTCAGTTGTTCTTGTGAGTAGTTACCATTACCAAAACCTCCCAAGACTATGGTTTGTGAGTCTTTTTCCTTGATTTAGTTTATTCTTATTATATATTGTATGACAATATTGTTGTTTTGTTGCAGCTTGGAGGACCCAGTTGGAATGTCAAACTTGGAAGAAGGGACTCCAGAACCGCCAGCTTTTCTGCTGCAAATGGTGGCCAAATTCCTGCCCCCACTTCCAACCTTAACACTCTCATCAAAACATTCCAAGCCAAGGGACTGTCAACCAAGGATATGGTTGCCTTATCAGGTACTCTACCTGGCTTGTATGTTTGTGTTTGTGTGTGTGTGCAGAGAGAGAGAGAGAGAGAGGGGGGGAGGGGGAGTTAAATTCCTCGTGATATTTTTTGTGGGTTTGACTTTTCTCAAATTTCTTAATAATTAGAGCCTCCTTCAATTTTTTTTTTTTAACGGTGATGATATGTCCATGTCAGCAGTTCCTTAAAAATTAATGAATAATAATGACTGCAACATTAATATAAACTTTAAAAAAGGGTCGACAAATACTTTTTATACCGTGAACTTATTTAGTGACATGATAAATCATAATCATTGAATTTATAGTAACTCTTACCTGACAGTAAAATCCACTATCAATCTAATAGTCGAAAATAATAAAGTTATCAAATAAGATCACTTGTCTAGGGAGAATATGGAGGAATGGGAAAAATTAACCTAGGGTATAGTATATCAAGAAAGGTAAAACAACGTCACTTTAGAATTTTCAAATACTAAAAACGACAAGGTTTTAACAATCAATTTTTCTTCGTCCTATACATCGAGGGTTTGCCAACCCAAAATATAATTTTTTTTCCTCGGCTATGAATGCCGACAAAAATAAAATTATTTTTTGCTTCAACTATTAACGCCAACACAAAATCTTTTTTCTTGCAGTGATGCGATAATATATTCTCATCACATCATATATGTATTTCTCTAAAGTTGCTATCTTAAACCAGGATCACACACGATTGGACAAGCAAGGTGCACCGTATTCAGAGCCCGTGTGCACAATGATACCAACATTGATAGTTCTTTCGCTCGAACAAGGCAAGGGAACTGCCCACTAAACTCTGGGGATAACAATCTGGCTCCTCTAGACCTTCAAACTCCTACTACTTTTGATGTTAACTACTACAAGAACCTTGTGAATCAGAAGGGTCTTTTTCACTCTGATCAAGAGCTACACAATGGCGGATCCACCGACTCGCTTGTTGAAACATACAGCAAAAATCCCAAGACTTTTAATTCCGATTTTGCTGCTGCCATGATCAAGATGGGTGATATTAGCCCACTCACTGGATCAAAAGGCGAAATTAGGAAAAAGTGTGGGAGGGTGAATTAATGGAAGAGTAGAAGTCTTGTTTTTTGATTTTTCCCAGAATTGGTAGTGTTTTTTTTTTTAATGGAAACGATAAAATTTCATATTAAGAAGGAATATTCGAAAAAATGATAGACATAATAAAGTTAGACGTCTACTTCAACTGTACAACCCAGAATTGTTAATGTTGTTTATTCTGTTTGTTTTGTTCTATGTTGTATTTCCTGGAGGGATATAGATGGTATAAGGAAGGAAGGAAGGAAGGAATGAAGGAAGAGCAAGTGTGATTACTTAGAACAATAGTACTAGACTTTTGAGTATTCTTCTTTGAATTTTCATGACCAATAAATATTGTTATGGTGTTTTCACCTTAATTTTTGTTCTTCTTCTTTGACAAGTTCATTTTTTTTTTTTTCATGAAAATCATGACTCTTTCTCATGATGATGGCTACTCAAACCAACCTGCATCTTGTTGACCAGCACATTTTTTTATTGAATTTTTTTCTTTGTGTTTGTATAAATAATTGAATTAACTGTTAAAGGGTCAAACTTTCCTTCTGCTAATAGTAAAATGTTGCATAACAAAATCAAATTCTAAGATGCAAACAAATATTTGAAAAAAGAAAAATGTTATTTGGATTTAATTTCGGAACTTAATTTGGACACTTAATTCAATATATGTAACAATTGGATTGAAAATATGTTTCATTTAACATTAGAATTCACGTTTAATCTAATAACGACATTGAATTAGATCCTTGATTAAGTTTTCAAATTAAGTCCCTATTTTTTTGCTCTTCGAAAAAAAATGATTAATTAAAACCCTTCGGGACCAAAGTCACACGATTCACCTATAACTACCAACGCTCTCAAGCTCCGCACATTAATTTGTGAATTGAGAGTGGATTCGATCAAAATTCGCACCCCCAATTAATTGAATTCGTCAATTCACAAAAAAATGAATTTGTCTACTCCAATTAGTTACAACAAAAGCCCATTTAAATAACATTTCAACTACAGCCCGAGGCTTCAAGACTCGCTTCCATCAATTAGTTAGTATGCGTTATACTTTTTGGTAAGTGGGCATGGGGCTTAACAAAATGAGTTTTAGAAAAATAGTTTAATAGACCCCAAAATTCTTGTTTGGATGGCTTTTTCAAGCTATGAACAGCAGTCTCAACCCGACCCGTAGTTAGCCAGATACCTTAAACCCTTGAATGTGAGCTTCATCAAACCCATGAGGGGTGGGTTTCAGTCAAGTCGCATCTGGATTAGTGAAACAAATATCATTTGTACTCTTAAATTAAACAAACATGAGCATGGATTGAATTAACCAATGCATAATATAGTAATTTATAGAAAAAATATGTTATGATAATAGTGATACATTTGTGGGTCTGCATCAGTATATGTTACTTATTAAATACGGATATAAATTAGATTCGTCAATAAATCTCATGGAAACAAAAGTGGAAGTTGGGTTTGAAAAGATTTGAAAAAACCAATCCAACAATCCGTTCCCCAAAGGTCATCCAAGCAAGCCATAGGAGCATTTGTTGTTATATGGTTTTGGTTGGGTTTATGAGGACGGGTTTAGTTAAAATAGTCCAATGGCTTGATAGAAATCATGTTTGGTTAGAGGTTTCCGGCCCAATGTTTATAAACCGGCTCGTGATGAACACTAGAATTCAAACTTGTGTATGTCGGCTTCAATAAACCCAGGGGTGGGTTTTATAACCCGGCCTGGCAGGTTGACCCAATGAACAAGTGAACTGGTGCTCAAACTGGGACGGTTCGAGTAGAAGATCGTTTGTGCGTGAAAATCGGGATCAAACCATTGAATCGGTGAATCCGTGCAAATTGGACGAGTTGAACCAAATCGGACGGTTTAGTTAAATTTGTATAAATATCAGATTTTTTACACTTTTTGGGCATTTTGTACTTTTGTCCTTTTGTTTTGTCCTAAATCGCTCTAGACGGTCCAAACCAGACTCCAGCCTCCACCCCTAGCAGGCAACATCGACTCCAGTCCACCCTCCGGCCAGTCCCAATGGTCCAATCGTGTCCTCCATCCATCAGATCAGACTCCACTGAGTGATTATCGAGTCTTCCACCGATTGACCATCATAGACTCGCATCGAGCAGTAAGTCCACTGCCGTTTTGTTATTTTTTTCTTTATATTGTGCTGAAATTGCCACGAATGATCAACCGCGTCTAAATTGCCTTCAAAATAAGGTAAATGGAAAAAAAAATCAAATGAGACCCAAAAGTGACTTTCTTGGAAACTACATATGTACACCAAGTCTTCATATGCAGATATTTCTAACAAGGAATGCAGCTTTTTTCTCTTTGGCTTATTACTTCTAGATTTCCTAAGTTATACCTTTTTCTCTTGGGTACCTAGATTTTACAATAATAATAATTTCTACCCCTAATTTTTTGTTATTGATAACAACTAATCCCCTANCAATTGGATTGAAAATATGTTTCATTTAACATTAGAATTCACGTTTAATCTAATAACGACATTGAATTAGATCCTTGATTAAGTTTTCAAATTAAGTCCCTATTTTTTTGCTCTTCGAAAAAAAATGATTAATTAAAACCCTTCAGGACCAAAGTCACACGATTCACCTATAACTACCAACGCTCTCAAGCTCCGCACATTAATTTGTGAATTGAGAGTGGATTCGACCAAAATTCGCACNGTGAAATAAGTTCACACATTTTATATTTTGACCAAGTATGAACGAAACGTAGGAATCGGACCATTTTTCTACAAACCATATCCATCACTCATAGGCTCATCACAAGTAAAAATTCATTTGATCCAGATGTTAATAAAACTAAGCAAAAGAAAAAAAGCTCGATTTTACAATGATTCATATAATACATATCAAAAAAATAGAAAAAAAAAATTAAACACAAAATCTTACTCCATGTAAGTTACCTAACAAGTAATGCTGAAAAATTCAATTGTCATGGAGTTAAGAATCCTCCTAAGTTTGGCAGGGATTGGAGATCATGGAATAGGAATGCTCGTTGGGAAAATGAGAATGAATAGATATGTCTATTGCATTACTTCTATGACGGGCTTTTATTTTATGAACATTGTTATTTAATGTTTGGGATTTTGTACTTGTAACTTATGAATTGTGGTATTATATTTTTCATTTGTGTGTTTTATATTTGTTAAAGATTGTGAACTTGATGATTCATTGATTGTTTATTGCGGTAAGAGCATTATGAATTATGGTATTAAACTTGTGACTTGTTTGAGATTCTTATTGTTCATTATATATAATTGGGTTGTAGATTACTTAATCACTTTATTGATAATAGTAGTAATATTTGTATATTCAAGTGTAACTAAGTAGTGGTTGGATAATTTATTTTTTATTTCGTTTATTTGAGTCCTTATGNTGAGTCCTTATATAATGCTCATGTACTTTGTTTTGTTTTTATGTGTCTTGCTATAGTTTGAATTTGAAGTTTAAAGAGTACAAACTACATGAATTATGCTTAGATTGATGCATTGTTGAAAAGTTGGACTTAGATTTAGAATCTTAAATTCAATTGATCTTCAATAGAGATATTTTTCTCTACTTAACTTTACAAATTGTATTGAAAATTGAATACATGTTTGATGATTTTTCTCTATTTAACTTTATATTTTGATGTTATTTTTATAATTATTGTGATTTTTTAGCCTATTTATTAGTATTTATAATTATTTTTTAATTTTATATTATATTACCGATCCGATCAATGACTCATTGACCCACTCCCTTTACCCAGTTGATGTTCAGGCCGGGTTTTAAAATTATGCCTTAAACCCTTGAATGTGAGTTTCATCAAACCCAGGGGTGGACTTCAGTCAAGTCATAGTTGGATTAGTGAGACAAATATCATTTATACCTTTAAGTTAAACAAACATGAGTATAAATTAAATTAACCAATGCATATTATAGTCATTTATAAGACAAATATGTTATAATAATAGTGATACATCTGTGGGTCTACATCTATATATGTTAGATATTAAATACGGATATGAATTAGATTCGTCGATAAATCTCATGGAAACAAAAGTGGAAGTTAGATTTGAAAAGATTTGAAAAAATCAATCCAACAATCCGTTCCCCAAAAATCATCCAAACAAGCCATAGGGTCATGTTTGTTATATGGGTTTGGGTGGGTTTATGAGGACGGGTTTAGATAAAATAGTCCATTGGCTGGATTGAAGTCATGTTTGGTTAGAGGTTTCATTTCATGCCCAATATTTATAAACCGGGCTGTGATGAATAGTTGAATTGAAACTCGTGTTTGTCGGCTTCAATAACCCCAAGGGGTGGGTTTCATTTCAGCCAACCCTGGATATGTGGATAAAAAGACTATCATATCCCTAAGTAAATTCCTAATTACCCAAATCACCCAACCCCTGACCCAATCTTCTGAGCGGCAGCTGAATCTCTGGGAAAGAGACGAAGGGCTCACCTCTGCCTTCCAGGTAAAGGAGTGGTTGGCGATGAATAAAGCCCTCACCGACTCTACTCAACTCAGAGGTGCTTCTTCAGCGTTTCCGGATCTTGGTGAGGTAAGGTATCTTCTTCTTCAGTGTTTCGATTTTTGTATGCATGTTTCCTCTTCGTTTTTTGATTTCTTGTTTTTCGATTTTTGTTGGTGGCGGCTACGTCGTGGTGGTGGGGCGGGGCGGGGCTGGTGGTTCAGTGATGTCTTGATTTCTCAATTTTCTTGGTTTTATTGGGGTGGCTTATAGCAGTTAGGGTTTGGTTTAGAGGCAGCGAGGTTGGGTGTTCTCATCGTTATGGTTGAAGGAGGCATTGTTCACCAATTTTTCTTGCTGGGAAATCACTAGTGGTGTGGCGTTGGTGTGAATTGTGGAACACGGTGAAAACACTCTTGAGAAAGCTTGGAACCAACTTCATTTTTTTTCCCCTTTGTTCAGACTTTTTGTTTTAGTTTTCTTTTTCCAATTTTTGTGGTTATTTGATGCTCATGTTGGGTTAAGATGGCTGCTAATTTTCATTTTGGTTCATGTGTACTCATTTTTGTTGCAATTTAATTGACAAAACATTGTCGTTGTTGTCACAAGTTACTCTTCTTTGGTTTTTGATGCTTGAATTTTTTATGGAGTGAAGGATAGACAGTTTATTGAACTGTGCAAAAATGCAAAGATGGGTCAGTCAACTTTGGGATCACGTGCTTTGCTACATAGTTCTAGAGGTTTTATTTTATTTTTTATTTTTTTACTTGAGCGGGAACCAGAAACCAAGTTGTAGTGCGAGGAGAGACAGGAGCCATTTTTCCTTACCCCTAGTTTTTGGGCTTTCATGGACCAAAGTTGAAATCTATTTCTCCAAACATTGGTTTTGGCGTTCACCTTTAGGATGGGTCACTACACTGTATGTTTGAATTTAGAAACTTGAATGAAAGTAGATTTATAAGGGAAGTTTTGAGCCTACTTAAATCTGACATTTTGTGAAGAATTCATGCCTCTGATGACCCTTTGCAGAAGTTCATTGTTTACATCCTATAGTTCTATGTAGAAACAAAATCTTGCCTATAGAATGGTCAAATTTTTTCATTTATTTTGGTGTATATGTCCCTGTTTCTGTGTGTGTTCATTTGTGCATTGTTATCATGCAAATTGTGATAGTGTTGCAGAATTAATCTGTGAAACAAACTAGCATTCGATCATGGGGACTGAAGAGTCAAGAGACCCATTTAAAGGGATGGACTGGAAAAATATTTCTGGCCCACCACCTGATGGGCCCAGTGCTGGATCAGTAGTAAAGAAACGGCTTCCCAAAAAGATCAGACAAATTCCAGATTATTATTTTCTTCCCCGAAGTTCCCTACCCTCGGCCATTGCTTTTTATGGGTCGTGGATTGCTGCTGGAGTTGGTGCTGGGATGTTACTTGAGATCTGGATAAAAAAGAAGGTCAAAGGTATGCCCTTTGTTGCCCTAAATTATTTACCTGTGCATCAAGTTATAGTAAACTNCCCTCGGCCATTGCTTTTTATGGGTCGTGGATTGCTGCTGGAGTTGGTGCTGGGATGCTACTTGAGATCTGGATAAAAAAGAAGGTCAAAGGTATGCCCTTTGTTGCTCTAAATTATTTACCTGGGCATCAAGTTATAGTAAACGCATTATTTTATGCCCTGTGGTGGTCACAAGTATAATTCATATTATACCCACCTATGGTTACCACAATTCACTCAACCCCCGATAGCCCACGATCTAGGTATATCGATCTCAAACATGGTGAGTTTGCAATCTAAATCACCAAATTGGACGATTCCAAATTGTAATACTAATCCTAAATCAACTTATTTTAGAACATGTAGCACAAATATAAAATATATATTAATTGATTACATGTATATAGATTTATAATTATATATTATTTTAAATAATAGAAAATCAAACACAATTGTAAGATAAAGGGAAATACTATGTAACGCAAATTTGTATTCCAATTGAACGGAGACCATTAGATTAGTGAATCCCATCAACTTTTCTAATTGGGATCCGNTTTAGAACATGTAGCACAAATATAAAATATATATTAATTGATTACATGTATATAGATTTATAATTATATATTATTTTAGATAATAGAAAATCAAACACAATTGTAAGATAAAGGGAAATACTATGTAACTCAAATTTGTATTCCAATTGAACGGAGACCATTAGATTAGTGAATCCCATCAACTTTTCTAATTGGGATCCGCTGATCCAACCATCCTTATTGATTTGGGATGCACATTTAGAATACAAATTTGGCACTACTCATAAATGGTAACTGACTTAGTGTTTATGGATGTTCTGTAATATATGATGTTATATAGTAGTAAAAACGATCTACATAAGAGTTATAAAACGAATTATGACCTAAAATACTGTACCATTTAAGCCTACCCTTATCGTACTGCATACTTAAGAAAATATCGTACTATGTACCCATACCCGATACTAAAGCGACCCATGATCCTGATACAATTGTCCCCACCTAGCTGACAGCAAGTGTTTTGAATCAGATTCTCTAGTTTTGGGAATGCATTTGTTGGACTGCTACGAGAGTATTCTGGTGTTAATCCATCTGAAACACTAGGAACTACTGTTAGTCAATGTTAGGTCTACTGATGAGAGTTGGCACCAAGGGAAATATGCAGTTTGCTTGTCAAATAAAACAACGAATGTCACCTAATATCATTGAGGAATACACATGGTGGATAATATGGGCATGTGATCTTTTGCTTGAATTAAGAGAAGTCATTTTGATGCTCTCTTGAAAAGTGTGCACCTTGTTTTGACCTTGATTTGTATTTATTTGATCTTGAAAAACCTATTAAGTAAGGGATCTTTTTGGGCCCCATTTTTGTAGGCGTCTTCTTCCCTTTTCGTATATAATTTGCACACTTCAACGTTTTGTTTTCTAGCTAACATGTGTTTACTGCTGTGGCAGAGGACGGAGGTGTCATCTGGGAGTTTGACAAGTAACTTTGTGGTTGTTCATGGTAATCTCTCTTTGGCATCGACGTACTGAGTCGTAATACTGATTATAAACAGTCCAGATCAAGAGGGGTTCTGGTTCTACACTTGCACTCTTTTTTTAAATCTTCAGATAATTTGTTTTTGGGTAATGTGATAAATCTTTATTTGATTATGCTCTGCACTAATGCATATAAATAGACTTTTCAATGGACGATTGTGAGTCCTGCGATTCGTTTCTGAATATATCTAATCTTGTGACTTCTATGGACGACTTCTTTGCCCCAACTACGCAGTTGCAAATCTGTCTTCAGGTTTCTAAAATCAGGTTGTGAACCCATTTGCATTCTTCAAAGGAGAAAAGAACCCACTTGTAGCCTTTGGATCAATGGGTTCCATCAATGATCTAGTAACTACGGTTAATTTGGTGAAAGTTTTAGTGCACATAGAGTGTAAAACAACATTTAGGAGTACGCCTGCAAATATTTATTTAATATTACATGCAAACCACGCTAACCTTGAGGGAATAACGAATGAATCCTTTCTGGTGAAAACTAGAGTTTCAATTCCATCTATTCTATACCACATGATGGATATTGATATTAGGCTTGTCAATTGTACTAGGTGACGTGGGTTGGTGTTATAAAAAACACTTGGTTATGTTTATATTTTGTGTCTAACAAATAATGTTATGTTATATTGAGTTCGTGTTCTGCAAATACAGCGGGCACAGCAGCTCCGTAACACTCCTGCTACTAATATTGCTGTCCAACTTGGCCCTTTGTCACATGGTAAATTTGACCAGAGAAAAGTTATGTAATGGTTAGTTTAACGAGCAAGATGTGCAACAAGTGTTAAAATATAATACGATTTGTTTACATATTAATTATATATGGTTTATGTACGACATGAATTTAATATAACATGATTTATTAAATATAAATTAATAAAAAAATTGAATATAAGTGAATTATTTTTTGATATGAGCTCGTTAAGACTCGACACAGATACACTTCATCCAACACGATTGACATATCTAGTGATATACCACCAACTCAATTTGATGGTTAATTCATATTAAAAGTGATTGCATAAGTCTTGAGTTTATATTTTACCTACGTGTCTAAAAAATGCAGACAATTCTTTGACCATTATATTTTAAAAAAATATAGAAAACACCATTGCCTACTCAGCTGAGAGATTCTACATTCAAACTCTTTTATAAAACAAAATTTTTTGGCCATCAAGGGAGATTTTAAATCATGAAAGTCAGCTACTGTTTAGGACTCGAGCTGTCCTATAAGCATTTGGAGCCATCAAGGTAGATTTTAAATCATAAAAGTCAACTGTTGTTTAGGCTTTGGAATGATGTTCTTCATGTTCATTTGACAAGGACGGCCTTGAGATCGAAGAAAAACATTAATAAGAACACGGTAACCAACGGTGATGATTTAAAATAATATATATATATATTCATCTATCTTTCTTTTTAAATTTTGGAGTTAATTNACTATGTACCCATACCCGATACTAAAGCGACCCATGATCCTGATACAATTGTCCCCACCTAGCTGACAGCAAGTGTTTTGAATCAGATTCTCTAGTTTTGGGAATGCATTTGTTGGACTGCTACGAGAGTATTCTGGTGTTAATCCATCTGAAACACTAGGAACTACTGTTAGTCAATGTTAGGTCTACTGATGAGAGTTGGCACCAAGGGAAATATGCAGTTTGCTTGTCAAATAAAACAACGAATGTCACCTAATATCATTGAGGAATACACATGGTGGATAATATGGGCATGTGATCTTTTGCTTGAATTAAGAGAAGTCATTTTGATGCTCTTTTGAAAAGTGTGCACCTTGTTTTGACCTTGATTTGTATTTATTTGATCTTGAAAAACCTATTAAGTAAGGGATCTTTTTGGGCCCCATTTTTGTAGGCGTCTTCTTCCCTTTTCGTATATAATTTGCACACTTCAACGTTTTGTTTTCTAGCTAACATGTGTTTACTGCTGTGGCAGAGGACGGAGGTGTCATCTGGGAGTTTGACAAGTAACTTTGTGGTTGTTCATGGTAATCTCTCTTTGGCATCGACGTACTGAGTCGTAATACTGATTATAAACAGTCCAGATCAAGAGGGGTTCTGGTTCTACACTTGCACTCTTTTTTTAAATCTTCAGATAATTTGTTTTTGGGTAATGTGATAAATCTTTATTTGATTATGCTCTGCACTAATGCATATAAATAGACTTTTCAATGGACGATTGTGAGTCCTGCGATTCGTTTCTGAATATATCTAATCTTGTGACTTCTATGGACGACTTCTTTGCCCCAACTACGCAGTTGCAAATCTGTCTTCAGGTTTCTAAAATCAGGTTGTGAACCCATTTGCATTCTTCAAAGGAGAAAAGAACCCACTTGTAGCCTTTGGATCAATGGGTTCCATCAATGATCTAGTAACTACGGTTAATTTGGTGAAAGTTTTAGTGCACATAGAGTGTAAAACAACATTTAGGAGTACGCCTGCAAATATTTATTTAATATTACATGCAAACCACGCTAACCTTGAGGGAATAACGAATGAATCCTTTCTGGTGAAAACTAGAGTTTCAATTCCATCTATTCTATACCACATGATGGATATTGATATTAGGCTTGTCAATTGTACTAGGTGACGTGGGTTGGTGTTATAAAAAACACTTGGTTATGTTTATATTTTGTGTCTAACAAATAATGTTATGTTATATTGAGTTCGTGTTCTGCAAATACAGCGGGCACAGCAGCTCCGTAACACTCCTGCTACTAATATTGCTGTCCAACTTGGCCCTTTGTCACATGGTAAATTTGACCAGAGAAAAGTTATGTAATGGTTAGTTTAACGAGCAAGATGTGCAACAAGTGTTAAAATATAATACGATTTGTTTACATATTAATTATATATGGTTTATGTACGACATGAATTTAATATAACATGATTTATTAAATATAAATTAATAAAAAAATTGAATATAAGTGAATTATTTTTTGATATGAGCTCGTTAAGACTCGACACAGATACACTTCATCCAACACGATTGACATATCTAGTGATATACCACCAACTCAATTTGATGGTTAATTCATATTAAAAGTGATTGCATAAGTCTTGAGTTTATATTTTACCTACGTGTCTAAAAAATGCAGACAATTCTTTGACCATTATATTTTAAAAAAATATAGAAAACACCATTGCCTACTCAGCTGAGAGATTCTACATTCAAACTCTTTTATAAAACAAAATTTTTTGGCCATCAAGGGAGATTTTAAATCATGAAAGTCAGCTACTGTTTAGGACTCGAGCTGTCCTATAAGCATTTGGAGCCATCAAGGTAGATTTTAAATCATAAAAGTCAACTGTTGTTTAGGCTTTGGAATGATGTTCTTCATGTTCATTTGACAAGGACGGCCTTGAGATCGAAGAAAAACATTAATAAGAACACGGTAACCAACGGTGATGATTTAAAATAATATATATATATATTCATCTATCTTTCTTTTTAAATTTTGGAGTTAATTATTATTAAGTCCGNATTGATTACATGTATATAGATTTATAATTATATATTATTTTAGATAATAGAAAATCAAACACAATTGTAAGATAAAGGGAAATACTATGTAACTCAAATTTGTATTCCAATTGAACGGAGACCATTAGATTAGTGAATCCCATCAACTTTTCTAATTGGGATCCGCTGATCCAACCATCCTTATTGATTTGGGATGCACATTTAGAATACAAATTTGGCACTACTCATAAATGGTAACTGACTTAGTGTTTATGGATGTTCTGTAATATACGATGTTATATAGTAGTAAAAACGATCTACATAAGAGTTATAAAACGAATTATGACCTAAAATACTGTACCAGTTAAGCCTACCCCTATCGTACCGCATACTTAAGAAAATATCGGNATGCACATTTAGAATACAAATTTGGCACTACTCATAAATGGTAACTGACTTAGTGTTTATGGATGTTCTGTAATATATGATGTTATATAGTAGTAAAAACGATCTACATAAGAGTTATAAAACGAATTATGACCTAAAATACTGTACCATTTAAGCCTACCCTTATCGTACTGCATACTTAAGAAAATATCGTACTATGTACCCATACCCGATACTAAAGCGACCCATGATCCTGATACAATTGTCCCCACCTAGCTGACAGCAAGTGTTTTGAATCAGATTCTCTAGTTTTGGGAATGCATTTGTTGGACTGCTACGAGAGTATTCTGGTGTTAATCCATCTGAAACACTAGGAACTACTGTTAGTCAATGTTAGGTCTACTGATGAGAGTTGGCACCAAGGGAAATATGCAGTTTGCTTGTCAAATAAAACAACGAATGTCACCTAATATCATTGAGGAATACACATGGTGGATAATATGGGCATGTGATCTTTTGCTTGAATTAAGAGAAGTCATTTTGATGCTCTCTTGAAAAGTGTGCACCTTGTTTTGACCTTGATTTGTATTTATTTGATCTTGAAAAACCTATTAAGTAAGGGATCTTTTTGGGCCCCATTTTTGTAGGCGTCTTCTTCCCTTTTCGTATATAATTTGCACACTTCAACGTTTTGTTTTCTAGCTAACATGTGTTTACTGCTGTGGCAGAGGACGGAGGTGTCATCTGGGAGTTTGACAAGTAACTTTGTGGTTGTTCATGGTAATCTCTCTTTGGCATCGACGTACTGAGTCGTAATACTGATTATAAACAGTCCAGATCAAGAGGGGTTCTGGTTCTACACTTGCACTCTTTTTTTAAATCTTCAGATAATTTGTTTTTGGGTAATGTGATAAATCTTTATTTGATTATGCTCTGCACTAATGCATATAAATAGACTTTTCAATGGACGATTGTGAGTCCTGCGATTCGTTTCTGAATATATCTAATCTTGTGACTTCTATGGACGACTTCTTTGCCCCAACTACGCAGTTGCAAATCTGTCTTCAGGTTT